CTTCACTTCAATGTAAAAATGGGACACAAATTGTCGTGACGTCACTTCATCCCGGCCTACCGCTGCCAATGTGGCAACAGCGCCTAAGACCCCCAACGGTTTGCGCTTTGAAATATTTTGATTTCCGCTTTCCTCTCACTTTCTTAACTAATAACTTTAATTATCACTCGTAGTATTGTTCACTGACGTTCCACTACCACTGAAAAACTTCTAGCTGATATTACGCGTTTTCAACGCCAAGGTTTTCGGAGCCTTGTTACCCACGTCTCACCCCACGGACCCACGCTGCTGTGTGTGTGTATGTGTGTGTGTGCGTGTATGTATGTGTGTGTGTAGTATGTGTGTGTGTGTGTGGTGTGTTGGGGTGTGTGTGTGTGTGTTTTATGTATGTGTGTGTATGTGGTTGTGGCGTGTATTTGTGTGTGGTGTGTGTTATATGTGTGTGTTTTGTATGTATGTGTGTGGTGTGTGTGTGTATGTGTGTGTGGTGTGTGGTGTATAATATACATTATATATATATATATATAAAATATATAAATTATATATATATATATAAATATATAAATATATCACTCCTTTCGTTTTAATATAACTCAACTGAAATTTAATGTTAACTTCATATCAGATTTTCTTTCCTGTTTCTGAATGATGAAGAGAGAAAAAAAGGGTAACTTTATCCTTGAGATCAGAATTGGTCTCTGTGATATTTGTTCACCTGATGTAATGGGGGGGGAAGTTATAATATAAAAATTACTACACTTAATTAAACCCCATTTTTAGAAAAGAGAGAGAGAGGGAGGTAGAGTATTTAGGGTTAAGTGGAGAAATTATATTATTTTTTTTTTAGTTTACTGGAATTTCAGATTGAAGATTAATCATATTTGAATGGCTTTCAATTGCTTCATTTTCCATTTTAAAATGATTTAGCCTCCCCGGCGCTGACAGCTGCAAACTGATCCAAAATAAATTGATGAGTTTCGCAGTTTAATTCGGAGACACCAGGAGAATCACCCTGAGCAACTTACCTCCAGTGTACACTGTTTGTTCTCCGCTAAATTACCTAGGCTGAATTTCTGGGAACTCTCGCTATTTAAAGATTTTTTTTCGAATTTCAGCTTAGCTTATGGTAGATTAGGTCCCGTGCCTGGGTTGGCTACGCTTTCGCTTTCACATACACACTGTGTCCATAGTTCGATTCCCTGTATGGGTGGAAACGTTGAGCGTGTCTCCTTATACCTAATATCCCTGTCCACCTAGCAGTAAGTAGGTACCCGAGTGTAAATCTGCTGGTGTAGGTCACATCCTGGGGGACAAGACTAAAGAACCACAATGGAAATAAGACAGTCCTCGATAACGCACTAAACAAATCTTATCTGATGGTAAAGTAGGTTTAGTTAGGGTAGTGTAGGTAAGGTTTGGGCAGGTCAGGTTATGGAAGTAAAGGTTAGCTTAAAGTTGAGGTAGGTTAGGTTAGTTAAGGTACGTCCGGTTAGGTTGTCAAGGAGATTAGTAGTTTGGGATTATATTTAATACATAAACAAGAGTATGTAGGTATCTGTATGTTGCATTTGATTCACATAAAAGAGCGTGTAGACATGTGCACATTACATCTGAATTAATGTGTTTAATGAGTAATATATATATATATATATATATATATATATATATATATATATATATATTTTATTTTATAATATATATATAAATATATATATATAATATATATGCAATAAGATCACAGTAACAGGTGATTTTAGAATATGCAAAAAAACCACTCTATTCTTTCAGAGTGTTATTGCATATTCTGAAAAACACCTGTTTTTACGTGATCTTATTGCATATATATATATATATATATATATAATATATATATATATATATATATATATATATATATATATTATATATATATATATATATATATAATATATATAACCATGGTGGTATGTAGGCTCATATTCAGAGATATTAATGTAAAAATATGTATGAATTACCGTGATGTTATCTTGCTTCGTCCCTCGTACAGTTGACAGGTTTCAAATCCAGTAAACTGACCAACTAATATTCTGTGTCGCTGGGAAATTCATGAATGAAACTCTGATTAAATATATTGTAGAAGATAGATCAGTCGTACAGAAGACCTAAACTTGATATACTGTGTCTCTGTGTAATATAATCTTGAACTGATTGACTTGAATTTGTTGTGTGTGGTGTGTGTGTGTGTGTGTGTGTGTGTGTGTGTGTGTGCGTGTGTGTGTGGTGTGTGTGTGTGTGTGTGTGTGTGTGTGAGTGTGAGTGCGCGTGTGAGTGCGTGTATAAACGTATCTTTGCACACCATTACCTCCTCTCTGACTCGGAAAAAAGGGAGGATTCTAACGCGTCTGGAAATTTGGTGAAAAAAGTTTGATGAGATTTACGTATGTTTTTTTTTTTTTTCTTTGGTTAACATGAAATTCAGTTTAAGTTTTGCCTCAGGTAAATGCGAAGAGATTTTCCTGGCGGTGTTATCATGCAGGATAGCAGAGGCCATTACTGTGTGTGTACTCACTTAATTGTGGTTTCAGGGGTTGATTCACAGCTCCTGGCCCCGGCTCTTCACTGGTCGCTACCAGGTTCCCTCTCTCCCTTCTCCATGAGCTTTATCATACCTCGTCTTAAAGCCTTGTATGATTCCTGCCTCAACTACATCATTTGCTAGACTACTCCACTTCCTGACTACTCTAAGACTAAAAAATACTTCCTAACATCTCTTTGACTCATTTGAGTCTTAGACTTCCAATTGTGACCCCTTGTTTCTGTGTCCCATCTCTGGAATATCCTGTCTCTGTCCACCGTATCTATTCCTCGCAGTATTTTGTATATCGTTATCATGTCTCCTTTAACCCTCCTGTCCTCCATTGTCGTCAGTCCGATTTCCCTTAACCTTTCTTCGTAGGACATTACTCTTAGCTCTGGAACTAGCCTTGTCACAAACCTTTGCACTTTATCTAATTACTTGACGTGCTTGACTAGGTGTGGGTTCCAAACTGGTGCTGCATACTCCAGTATGGACTTGACGTACACGGTGTACAGTATCTTGAATGATTCCTTACTGAAGTATCGGAAAGCTATTCTCAGGTTTGCCAGGCGCCCATATGCTCCAGCAGTTATCTGGTTAATGTGTGTTTCCGGAGACGTGCTCGGTGTTATACTCACCCTAAGATCTTTCTCCTTGAGGGAGGTTTGCAGTCTTTGGCCACATAGCCTATACTCCGTCTGTGGTCTTCTTTGCCCTTCCATGATCTTCATGACTTTGCATTTGACGGGGTTAAATTCTAGAAGCAAGTTGCTGTACCAGGTGTCTAGTCTGTCCAGGTCTCTTTGAAGTCCTACCTGATCCTCATCTGATGTAATTCTCATTAACTTCACATCATCTGCGAACAGGGACACTTTTGAGTCTATCCCTTCCATCATGTCATTCACATATACTAGAAATAGCACTGGTCCTAGGACTCCGCTCGTCACAGGTGCCCACTGTGATACCTCATCACGTACTTTGACTCGTTGTTGCCTCCTTGTCCGATATTCTCTGATCTATTACAGTGCCCTTCCTGTTATACGCACCTGAGCCTCTAGCTTCTGCACTAATCTCTTGTGAGGAACTGTGTCGAAGGCCTTCTTGCAGTCTTCTTTGTGTGTGTGTATGTGTGTGTGTGTGTGTGTGTGTGTGTGTGTGTGTGTGTGTGTGTGTGTGCGTGTGTGTGTGTGTGTGTGTGTGTGTGTGTGTGTGTGTGTGTGTGTGTGCGTGCGCGCTCGTACGTTTCTGTACGTTTGTGCTCAGAGTTGTACTCAGCTGCACTCCCATAGTTGTACCCAGAGTTGTACTCGCAGAGGCCTTTTTTCAAGGGTCGAGTTTGATCTCTAATTATTAGTGGTTGCATTTACATGAACCTCTAAACCCTCTCGGGTCAGCTCATTGAGTGGTGGAGGCTCGATCCTACCTACAGTAATCACCAGACACAGTCCCCTCACTTAATGTATATTTTTTTTCCAGCGCTTTCTACGTAGTTATCACATCTCTCCCTCTTTCCAGCGATGGCATTCTTTATTTAATTTCCTTAGATTTTTTTTAATTTTGGAAAAATAACTTTTGAAAAAATAAGTTTCGGAGGGGTGTAAATCTTTTGACTTTTTTGTAGTTTTAATTTTTTTTTTAATAGAAGAAATATCACTATATTGAAAGTGTTTATTCGTCTATGATCCAGATTTTTTTTTTTTGGGGGGGGGGGATGGTTTTGTGGGTTCGGAAATAAGATTCTTTTTATAGTCTGTTCGAATCTTGTCCCTGGAAGATAGGGAGGATTGTTTTGATGTCGGTCAAGAGCTCGTCATCAATCGAACTGGAGCTGGATTTGTCCTTCCCTGAATCGATCTAGGATTTTCTGCCATTTCCCAGGTGCTCTTCAGGGTCCTCATGGTACTCCAGGACGTGAAATTGGTCTAGGACATGGCGCTGGTCCAAGACTTGGCATTGGTCCGGGACATGGTATTGGTCCAGGATCTGATATTGGTCCAAGACCTAATATTGGTCCAGCACTTGACATTGGTCCAGGACATGGTATTGGTCCAGCACCTGACATTGATCCAGTACCTAATATTAGTCCAGCACCTGATAATGGATCACAAAAGACCGAAATTGCGTCTGAAGTTCACTTTCCAAATTGAAGGCAACGACAGCCTAACTGCTCCGAGACCGAACACTGCCATTAGCGGAAAATGACTGGAGGCTCCACAGTTCCTCACGCTGTGACCGACACTTGTCCGACTCTTTGTGTAATACCATACCATGCAGACTGTGGAATAGTCATGAATTGAAATTATTCCACAGAACCTATAGTCTGGGGGAAGATAATGATTTCTTAAATCATTCCACAGGTTGAAGAATTTAAAAAAAAAAAAAATCAAAGGCTCTTTAATCATTCCTACAACGAGTAGATTGAAGGTTATAAAAGGATACTTACTGTGTAGTTATGCAGGTTCCTGACTACGCAGGTGAGGTGGGCGATCTGTCCGATGAGAGCGTGGGCGTGGGCGTGGAGAGACGTGTTGAGGAAGGAAGGTCCCACTAGTGTGGAATACTGCACAGACTGTCTCTTGTGGGCGGGCAGCTCTTCCCCGCCCTCGCTACCCTCCCCGCCTGGCCAGAAGAAAGTTACGAACACCTTAGAAGATGACGACTAACAAGGAGATGAATACACATATGCGTAGTTCCAGGAATTTACTGAGGAAACGTTTCACCACAAATGGCGAAACGTTCCTTCAAAAAATGTCTTGAACTGTGCGTATATACGTATATTTATCTACACAACATTAAAATAACTTCCGTAATTCATAGCATTCAGATCCTTCACAGAATTAATGTAATTCAGATTATCGAATCACGCTTCCATAGAGGACACTTTTGTTCTTACCAGGGTGAAGAACTGTGTGTGTGTGTGTGTGTGTGTGTGTGTGTGTGTGTGTGTGTGTGTGTGTGTGTGTGTGTGTGTGTGTGATGTGTTGTGTCTACGAGTATAAACTCATACACATGAAGATAGTTTACGGCTAGCGCAATTATTAACGCCCAACCACCTATTAGAACATGCGTGCGTACGAATGCGTTTGCGCCCTTAATGGCAAGTTCCGATGCATTTACCCATGATTCACGTGCAGGTGTCTTGTAATCAAGGCTCACACAGGTGATCCGCAGCAGCTAGCATAACAGAAGAACAGAAGACACCCTGCTGCTAGTGTCCCAGTCTATACTTCACTCTGCCGTCGGCTAAACACCATCAGTGGCTAGCAGCTACAAAACGCAACTGGAATACGTTGCCCAGACCTCTAATTGAAAATGCGTTACTGAAGAAAATTACGGAGTTCTTGCAAATATTTTTCAACTGGGTGAGGGAAAAGTGCCTTGTGTTTAGGCGGCAGTTTTTGGTGCATTCCTTAAATGGCCTTGGTTAGAATATTGTAATTTTCACCTTAAATTAGGTCAAATATGCAAGTCAGTCTTCTTATTTACGTCTGGTAATTAACTTGTTAATAATTTTTTTGTGGTAAGACATATTTTCTAGTTAAATTTTCTTGTTTATTTAAAAAAAGTCCTTTAAATTTCAACAAATTCTGAGGGTTTAAATTGTATATATGGCAAACCATCTTTTCTTACTACAACAATTGTAAAAAAAATATTTTGTCAAGCAAATAAAAATTATCTTACTATAGAGGGGAAATTATCTTACTATAGAGGGGAAATTATCTTACTACAGAGGGGAAATTATCATACTATAGAGGGGAAATTATCTTACTATGGAGGGAAAATTGTCTTACTATAGAGGGGAAATTATCTTACTATAGAGGGGAAATTATCTTACTATAGAGGGGAAATTATCTTACTATAGAGGGGAAATTATCTTACTACAGAGGGGAAATTATCTTACTATAGAGGGGAAATTATCTTACTATAGAGGGGAAATTATCTTCTACAGAGGGAAATTACTTACTACAGAGGGAAATTATCTTCTTAGAGGGAAATTATCTTACTATAGAGGGAAAATTATCTTGCTATAGAAGGGAAATTATCTTACTATAGAAGGGAAATTATCTTACTATAAAGGGAAAATTATCTTACTATAGAGGGGAAATTATCTTACTATGAGGGAATTATCTTACTTAGAGGGAAATTATCTTACTATAGAGGGAATTTTTTAGGGGAAATTATTTACTAGAGGGGAAATTATCTTACTATAAAGGGAAAATTATCTTACTATAGAGGGAAAATGATCGTACTACAGAGGGGAAATTATCTTACTATAGAGGGAAAATTATCTTACTATGGAGGGGAAATTATCTTACTATGGAGGGAAAATTGTCTTACTGTAGAGGGGAAATTATCTTACTATAGAGGAAAAATTATCTTACTATAGAGGGGAAATTATCTTACTATAGAGGGAAAATTATCTTACTATGGAGGGAAAATTGTCTTACTGTAGAGGGGAAATTATCTTACTATAGAAGGGAAATTATCTTACTATAAAGGGAAAATTATCTTACTATAGAGGGAAAATTATCTTACTATAGAGGGGAAATTATCGTACTACAGAGGGGAAATTATCTTACTATAGAGGGAAAATTATCTTACTATAGAGGGGAAATTATCTTACTATGGAGGGAAAATTGTCTTACTGTAGAGGGGAAATTATCTTACTATAGAGGAAAAATTATCTTACTATAGAGGGTAAATTATCTTACTATAGAGGGGAAATTATCTTAATTTCCCCTCTATAGTAAGATAATTTCCCCTCTATAGTAAGATAATTTCCCCTCTATAGTAAGATAATTTTTCCTCTATAGAAGATAATTTCCCTCTACAGTAAGGACAATTTTCCCTCCATAGTAAGATAATTCCCTCTATAGTAAGATAATTTTCCCTCTATAGTAAGATATTTCCCTCTGTAGTACGATAATTTCCCTTATAGTAAGATAATTTTCCCTCTATAGAAGATAATTTTCCTTTATAGTAGATAATTTCCCTTCTATGTAAGATAATTTCCCCTCTACAGTAAGACAATTTTCCTCCTAGTAAGTAATTTTCCCTCTATAGTAAGATAATTTCCCCTCTATAGAAAGATAATTTTCCTTATATAAGATATTTTCCCTCTACAGTAAGACAATGTCCCCCATAGTAAGATAATTTCCCTCTATAGAAAGGATAATTTTCCCTCTATAGTAAGATAATTTCCTCTGTTATACGATAATTTCCCCTCTATAGTAAGATAATTTTCCCTCTATAGAAGTAATTTTCCTTTATAGTAGATAATTTCCCTTCTATAGTAAGATAATTTCCCCTCTACAGTAAGACAATTTCCTCATATAGATAATTTCCCTCTATAGTAAGATAATTTCCCCTCTATAGTAAGATAATTTCCCCTCCATAGTAAGATAATTTTTCCTCTATAGTAAGATAATTTCCCCTCTACAGTAAGACAATTTTCCCTCCATAGTAAGATAATTTTCCCTCTATAGTAAGATAATTTCCCTCTATAGTAAGATAATTTTTCCTCTATAGTAAGATAATTTCCCCTCTACAGTAAGACAATTTTCCCTCCATAGTAAGATAATTTCCCCTCCATAGTAAGATAATTTTCCCTCTATAGTAAGATAATTTCCCCTCTACAGTAAGACAATTTTCCCTCCATAGTAAGATAATTTTCCCTCTATAGTAAGATAATTTCCCCTCTATAGTAAGATAATTTTTCCTCTATAGTAAGATAATTTCCCCTCTACAGTAAGACAATTTTCCCTCCATAGTAAGATAATTTCCCCTCCATAGTAAGATAATTTTTCCTCTATAGTAAGATAATTTCCCCTCTATAGTATCTTACTATAGAGGAAAAATTATCTTACTATAGAGGGGAAATTATCGTACTATAGAGGGGAAATTATCTTACTATAGAGGGGAAATTATCTTACTATAGAGGGAAAATTATCTTACTATAGAGGGGAAATTATCTTACTATAGGGGGAAATTATCTTACAGGACAGGGGACATTATCTTATTATATAGGGGATATTATCTTGTGAATTTATTTATGTCGTTAATCATTAAGCGAGGATCAATTTAGCAGTTAACATATTATACTAAATATGTTATTGTTTCGTTTATAATCTGGATAACTTCTTTAAGGTGAAACACTTCGTAAAGAAAGATGTGGTTTAGTGTTAAACCTTCATCGCGGAGACGTTTTAACCTGTTAATTAAGTCAGTTTAACTTGGTCTTTTGCAACTCACCTGGAAGACCACCGAGGCAGACTTGGGTGAGGAGGAGTAGTAGAGCCGCCCACACCCACATCACGCCCACCAGGTAGCTCCTCGCTACGTCCGCCAGGTGACTCTTTGCTACGTCCGCCAGGTGGCTCTTTGCTACGTCCGCCAGGTGGCTCTTTGCTACGTCCGCCAGGTGGCTCTTTGCTACGTCCGCCAGGTGGCTCTTTGCTACGTCCTCCAGGTGGCTCTTTGCTACGTCCTCCAGGTGGCTCTTTGCTACGTCCGCCAGGTGGCTCTTTGCTACGTCCGCCAGGTGGCTCTTTGCTACGTCCTCCAGGTGGCTCCTTTCTACGTCCGCCTCACCACAGCCTTCTGAAGGGAAAGTGTGTCAGGCACAGTAGAAAAATATCTCGGATATTTACAGTGTAACTCCAAACGCATAAATTATCAATAAATTTAATCATATTCACGCTCCGAACAACATTTTAAGAGGGAAAAAAATACCCAACATTTTAAGAGGGAAAAAAATACCCAACATTTCACATAAATCATATTAAATGAAGCACAAATTTGATTTGTCGCAGTATTTAAGGTTTCTGATTTTTTTCAGGAAACTAATTTCTCGTAACGGAGGCTCAGTAAATAGAAATGATGCCAGAGTCTTCGGTATTGGTTGAGACCTTCTTCAGAGCGAGTAATTACACAGGTGTTATCGGTTCGTTCCCCGGGAAAATCACCTGACACGGGCGTTTGTCAAAGGATAAGCAGTTCGGTAACGCCGGCTGTATGTTGGAGACACAGAGCCACGGATTTGCTTAAGGACACGGCTGCGGCGACTGCTATCTTACGGCTGTTAGATTAAGAATATTAAACATTTGTTGTTGCTGGTTTATTCGCTGGAGGAAGCCCCCGTAAAACGGTTGTTTGTCGTAAGATGATCCGGTCAGTGGAAGCTCGGAAGCCATTGTATAAGCAAACAAATTCAGGGAGCCAAGCAACGAAATAACTCGATGAAAAAACAAAGAAACGCAGCTTCTGTTGATACTGCTGTTGATGTAGTTGAGAATGATGCTTCTGTTAATATTACTGTTGGTGCAGTTTAAAATGATGCGACTTTCTATCACGTGAAAAAAAAAAAAAACTGAAACGAAGACACACGTTGCTGAACAAGCTTTTATTGAGTCAACGTTTCTCCCTATGCACAACTTTATCAAGCCATGATGACTTAAATCTCTCCACAGAGCGAAACGTTGCCCCCCCCCAATAAAAACTAATTCCGCAACGTGTGTCTTTTGTTTACGGTCGTCGGCACTGCGTCCCTTGGATCCATAACTGAAGAGCCAATTTCACTCTCACTGAATTATTAATAAGTGTTGACATACATCGAAGAGTCGGTCTATACTGATCAACAGCATTACTAATTTCTATATCTTGATGTGAAACACCAAAACTGCGTTGAACACAGTACGTCAAAAAGTGTTAAACATTGTTGTTGTAAAACAAAGCCCATGTCGTAGGCCTTCTTAATTAGAGAAATCTCACGGCAAGTTACAGACGCATGTGTAAAAATTGGGTGTGGGTGAGACCTATTTATTTCATCCTCGTGGGATTTACGTGTTCGCTTTCTCATGTCGTAAAACATATATAGAGCAAAATTCACAACAAACCCACAAACTGTGAATCAAAACTAGTCTGTTTCTGTCCGTCCTGGAACTATTATCATGTCCAGTTTGTTAGGTCAGATGTGAATTCTTCCCAGCACGGCAGCATCTGTCTCATCCTCGCCGGCGTGGATCCAGTCGCTGGCACCAACAAGGTTACCTTTAACCCCGCTAAGCGAACATTAAACACCGTAATTAAGCCGCGAGGCGCAGAGCAAAGCTCCGAATAATACGATAATGGAGATGACCCCCGCAAAACACCAGCGACATGAAGTTATCACTGCGTCTGCAAAGCTACATAAACACCGGGGAACAAGTTTATGTCTTAAAAGTCCGCGAGGACCATAAACACTCTTGCCCCGTCACAACTCCCCGGGCATTACTGCTATTACTGTAGGTAATACCCCAGAACACTGGTGTTCCTGGGTTATTATACAACAGACAGCTCGCAGAACAGTAGTATTTCGGGGTGATATAACAAAAGACACGAGAAGAACAGTAATCAGGGTATTATTGTACAGTACATCACTGGGCACCAAATTCCGGTTTATTATTGTGCGATAGGCGCCTCGAGACCAAATACCCAGGTATTACTCTACCGTCAACACTGGAACCCTGGTAGCTGGAGACTAAACATCCGGTCATCACTGCGCTACAGACAGCTGAGGACCAAACATCCGGTCATCACTGCATCTCAGGCAACTCGAGCAGACAATCGTAAGACCAAACATCCGCTATCACTGCACCAGCCGAGAGCTACGTACGTCAGCTATCACTGCTACGGGTGGATCCGGAGAGCTACAGTACCGTGATGAGAATTACAACCTTAAAGGCCTCGTCGGAATAGCACATTAGTGCCCCTTGATGGCAGTGTTGTTTACCATGCTGATGTAAGATACAAGTGTCGAAGTGAACGTAACAAGTGTCGAAGTGAACGTAACAAGTGTCGAAGTGAACGTAACAAGTGTCGAAGTGAACGTAACAAGTGTCGAAGTGAACGTAACAGTGTCGAAGTGAACGTAAAAGTGTCGAAGTGAACGTAACAAGTGTCGAAGTGAACGTAATAAGTGTCGAAGTGAACGTAACAAGTGTCGAAGTGAACGTAACAAACGTCGACGTGGACGTAACAAACGTAGACATGAACTAACGAACGTAGACGTGAACGTGGAATGTAACAAATGTTAATATGAACGCAATGAACGTCGATGTGACCGCACCGTAGACGTGAACATAAACGTCGACGTGAACGTAGCAAACGTCGACATTAACGTAAATATCAACGTGAACTTAAACGACGACGTGAACTCCACAGATAGAACGAGTGTAGACGTGAACGCAACATAATGAACGAATGTCGAGGTGAACGCAACAGAATGAACGAATGTCGAGGTGAACGCAATAGAATGAACGAATGTCGAGGTGAACGTAACAATCAGCGGAAACAAGCATCGCAAAATGCAGGAAGAGAGAGAGAGAGCAAGCAACGTTCAACGACCACTTAGAAAAGGATTGAAACCCCCTTTTTGCCCACTTAAATACAGCAAAGGTTGTTGGTTCCCAGCACTTAAAGTTCGAAAACTGAAAAGGGTGAGTACCTGCACTCTGAAGGATGATCCAACGATGCTTTTACACATTTATTGAACGAATGATAGTAAATTCATTTTCTTTTCTTCTTTTTTTTTTTTGGAGTGGGGGGAGAGAGAGAGAGAGATGGGTCACCCTTATCTTTTCTAGAATTGTTCTGTGTCTCCCTTGCATCTCTGAGAGACATTTTACTCTGTCTCTGCTACTGGACCAGCTGATGCTACAGAACTGTTCTTGATCCGAGGGTTTGGAGTTACCCCTCTCCCACCCTTGAATCAAACCTGAAGTCTTATTTCTCCAGCGCTGTGAGACCCCGAACGGGTTTAGTATTTTATCATGAATACAATAATAAATAATAATTCTTATTTACTGTTGTTATAATTATCTTTCATTATCATCATTATTATTATTATTTTTAATAATAATAATAATAATAATTTAATTAATATTATTATTATTTTATTATTATTATTATTATTATTATTATTATTATATATATTATTATCATTATTTATATTATTATTATTATTTTAATAATTATTATTATTATTTATTATCATTATAATTATTATTGTTATATTAATAATAAAACTAATATGAATACTCATAATAGTTTAATAACGAGAGTAAACGGATGACCTGCACTCAAGACCGTCTCTAGTAACGAGAACAGAGTCAGTAAATAAGGCAGGTAACGCTGGAATACATATTTCAAAATTCCTTAATAGCGTCATGAATATACGATAGGAAAGCCAGGGCGAATATTCCTTTCTCAGGGAGGAGTTGTCTTTACTGCTAACTGTTGATCTCAAGAGGAGGCAACGGTAGTGCGCTTATTGCTGGAAACGGTAATGCATCTGTCAACAGGAAAAAAAGGCAATGTACCTATCGAAAGGAGTCAACGGCAATGCAGGTATCTATCAACAAGAGTCAACAGCAATGCAGATACCTATCAACAGGAGGAAACGGTAAAGCGCTTAGTAATCACATGCGTCTTAAAAAAAGTGTCACGAGACGCCCATACGAACGGCTCTCACGACGCACACGAATGGATCCGACGGCTCATTTGTGCGAGTCGAGCTTAGAAGTGGCCGTACAAGCCAACGATGCCTCCGGATCCAAGGAACCGGAGCCACCTTCCTCCCCCTGGGATGAAACCTGACTAACCTTGTTCATGAACTACAACACAAGGATGACATTGCTTTCTCTCTCTCTCTCTCTCTCTCTCTCTCTCTCTCTCTCTCTCTCTCTCTCTCTCTCTCTCTCTCTCACCGCACAGTTAATTACAACACGCTCTAATAGGTAATTACACTCACAAACAGAAAAAGAATATTTTTTTTAGGTTTGCTGCGTTAGATAGTCGGAGGACAAATGTGTCTCATCAAGACGTCATAGGAAAGAAACATATTTTTGCTGAGAGTCGTAAATGTGGTGGTTGTGGTCGTGCTTAATGAAGCTGTATGTTGTGTCTCATCTGCCCAGGGAGATCTCGTTATATTCTCCTCGCTACATATCTCGTGTGTGTGTGTGTGTGTGTGTGTGTGGTGTGTGTGTGTGTTACTCACCTAGTTGAGGTTGCGGGGGTCGAGTCCGAGCTCCTGGCCCCCGCCTCTTCACTGGTCGCTACTAGGTCACTCTCCCTGAACCGTGAGCTTTATCATACCTCTGCTTAAAGTTATGTATGGATCCTGCCTCCACTACATCGCTTCCCAAACTATTCCACTTACTGACTACTCTGTGGCTGAAGAAATACTTCCTAACATCCCTGTGATTCATCTGTGTCTTCAGCTTCCAACTGTGTCCCCTTGTTACTGTGTCCAATCTCTGGAACATCCTGTCTTTGTCCACCTTGTCAATTCCTCTCAGTATTTTGTATGTCGTTATCATGTCCCCCCTATCTCTCCTGTCCTCCAGTGTCGTCAGGTTGATTTCCCTTAACCTCTCCTCGTAGGACATACCTCTTAGCTCTGGGACTAGTCTTGTTGCAAACCTTTGCACTTTCTCTAGTTTCTTCACGTGTTTGGCTAGGAGTGGGTTCCAAACTGGTGCCCCATACTCCAATATGGGCCTAACGTACACGGTGTACAGGGTCCTGAATGATTCCTTATTAAGATGTC